GCGGGTTGGCAACCACAGTTTTTGTTATTTTGAGCTGTTATCAGAAAGATGCTGCCACTCATCTTCTGTTTCATTTTCCCTCTGTCGCCTTTTACGACACCCTCGGGACTATATAGCTACACAGTAAATGTATCGAAATGTATTAATTTTCTAAATATAGGGTAAACAGTACTAATGTTGGCACTCCTTCAATAATTGGCACTTTGCTATTTTAATCTGAATATTAAGAATGTTTTCCTTTTTCTATATCACAGCTACACAGATATTGCTAAGATATATAATTACTTATACTAACAATACACATTTATATTTAAAGCGTCAACTATTTTCCTATAAGGGCTGTTTCAAAAATGTGTGCGGACAAATCCGTTAAAATTTAACATAAAGGTTTTGTTGCTAGATTTTGAGACAAAAATATGATTTTTAGGTAAGTTTATATGCAAGTTTCTGTCTATTTTTCAATTTACGTCATTAAAGCATATTAAACGTTATTTTATCATTGTGAAATAGAAGCATCGGTTTTTTTTTAATTGTGCCAGTGACTATACTTTACTTTGCATGACTACATAATCATTACAAGGGGCGCTCGACGTCTGACGCCGGTGTTGAGCTTATGAAATATATTTTTAATGCCTGGGAGAATTCACAAGATGCCTTAGGTATTTTTTGTGACCTTTCCAAGGCTTTCGATTGTGTTCATCATGATACATTAATCAGGAAACTACAACATTACGGTGTAAAAAATTTGGCGCTTAAACTTATTACTTCATATTTAAGTAACAGAACTCAAAAAGTCGTCATTAATGGTAAATGTTCCTCCGGATCAGTAGTATCAATGGGCGTTCCTCAGGGCTCGATTCTTGGCCCATTCCTGTTCTTAATCTATATTAATGACTTACCTTATCTTGTAGGGGACAATCACGATATAGTATTATTTGCTGACGATACCTCTTTAATTTTCAAACTGAAACGGCAGTCAATTAAATATGACGATGTAAATAATGCTCTATCGAAACTAGTACATTGGTTTAACGCCAACAATTTGCTCTTAAACGGCAATAAGACAAAATGTATTAAATTTACAATACCTAATGTAAAACATTCGAAAACCAATGTGCTCTTAAATGGGGAGGAGTTGAGTCTTGTGGATACCACTGTTTTTCTCGGTATTACTATTGACGCGAAACTTCAATGGGGCCCCCATATATCTAAATTAGCAAGCAGACTTAGTTCTGCAGCATATGCTGTAAGAAAGATTAGAAGTCTCACAGATGTTGAGACAGCTAGGTTAGTGTATTTTAGTTACTTTCATAGCGTAATGTCTTATGGAATTTTGCTATGGGGTAATGCGACTGATATTGAAGCTATATTTGTTTTGCAAAAGAGAGCCGTACGGGCGATTTATAATCTAAATTGTAAAGAGTCCCTTAGAGAAAAATTTAAAGAAATAAACATATTAACTTTGGCATCGCAATATATTTATGAAAATGTAATGTATGTACATAAAAACATAAATAGCTTTAATAAGAATAAGGATGTTCATACCTTAAACACTAGGAACAAACATAAGCTTGTAATGCCACTTACAAGACTCCACAGAATTAGTAATTCATTTATGGGGCAATGTATACGCTTTTACAACAGAATCCCAGAACATGTTCAAAGTTTGTCAATAAACAAGTTTAAAAGTTTTATTAAAGAAAAACTGTACAAAAAGGGTTATTATAATATCAAGGAATACATGAATGAAAATAACCCCTGGGAATAAGGTGATCGCCACCATGCTGGTTCTATGAATAATTCATTTAAAATTGTATAAACAAAATTATTGTTAAGTGAAATTATGTTTAAAAAAAAGTCCCGCTGGGTTTCTTGCTGGTTCTTCCCAGGACAGAGGTGTTTTCCGAACCAGTGGTAAATAAAATAATGACTTTCAATAAGTATTATGTAATAATCCATATTGAATAAAAATCATTCTATTCTATTCTATTCTATTCATTGGCATATATGACAATCACTATACTTTCTTTCTTTTGTCCAAAATCTATTCTTGACACTGCTAATGACTATATCCTTTGAGTAGTGCCAATGATTATGACTGACCTTTTTCATATATTGAATTGATGAAGAATACCGCTACGCTTTAAAAAAATATCTGCCGCACTAATATTTAACATTCCACGCGCGAATTTACAGTTCCCACTAAATAAGTAAAGTCAAACAAACTAAGAAGCTGGAAAGCTGACCTGGTCCTGGCACAGTTTTCGATGTCATAAAAATGTCAATGATGTGAAGTTTTTCAATAAATACCCGATACATACTAAACCGTTTTATAGAGGGAGAATAAAACGTCTATGAAGTGAATCATGCCTAACCGAAGTCTTGCATCACTGTTCTTTGGAGTAGATGGTAAAACCTATTATATTCCACCTATAGAAAATGGGAGAGTTCAAAATTAGTGCCTAGAGAGAGGGTTATTTACTATATTTAATACGGCGCAACTTTGCCCAAGTCTCGCCATAATATTTATAGCCCTTAACCTGAATGCAACATGACTATTACAACCAGCTAATATCACTGCATTTCGGCACACCAAAGATATGTGGCGTAAACCTGTCTTCGAATGACGGACAAACAATTTGACAAAAAAAGTTACTAAATCTGATGCGGGTCTATATTAGCAAGACTTTTAGCGTATGGAAATAAATCTACATTATGAAATGGTTTTGAGACTTGTGGATTGTGCCGATTTAGTCCAGACAAAGTGGATTAAACAAAGTGTCCGATACCCCCGAAAAGTCCGCGATACCATATGTCTATTTCTTATTCAAAATAACGGCGTTGTTTACCTGCTTTTTGCTTTTTGATACGTATTTGGCAATGGAAAAAACTCTATAAATATTTTTAGGGCTTTCTAAAAGATTTTTGTTTGTTTCGACATCCACGATTACCCATTCACCTCCAACAAATTCTAAATTTGCTGCCTAGTTGATGAATAACATAAGGGTTAGTTTTCTTTCTGATACTCAACAATAATCTCTGCAGGTTGTATACGCTCTGGTACTGATAAACCATTATTAAGTGAAAGGATACAAGGCAAATTTGATACAGGTATTTCTGATTCAGTCGTTATTCTTTAAGAGTCTTAAATTATTAGGTAATTCGGCGTAATGGCAAGGAACGGTGATCATCTAAAATGGCTTGCTGTGATTCTAATAACGACTGAATCAGAAATACCTGTATCAAATTTGCCTTGTATCCTTTCACTTAATAATGGTTTATCAGTACCAGAGCGTATACAACCTGCAGAGATTATTGTTGAGTATCAGAAAGAAAACTAACCCTTATGTTTTTCATCGACTAGGCAGCAAATTTAGAATTTGTTGGAGGTGAATGGGTAATCGTGGATGTCGAAACAAACAAAAATCTTTTAGAAAGCCCTAAAAATATTTATAGAGTTTTTTCCATTGCCAAATACGTATCAAAAAGCAGGTAAACAACGCCGTTATTTTGAATAAGAAATAGAAATATGGTATCGCGGACTTTTTTTAGACGGAGTAAAGGTCTATATTTTTCTAGAACATTGTATTTACGTATCCCTAACGATAACACCAGCGTACGCGGATAAATCATTTCGGGAGTGCTTTTTCTTCTGATTTGCTTAACACATATACATATTTAAGGCTAGCTGAGTAATATAGCTTAATGCTAGCCTATACTATTCCACATGAATCTGGCTATAATATACAAAAAGAAGTTTTCAAATCGGACTGGTAATTCCAGAGATTAGCGCGTTTAAACGAACAAAAAACAAAAAACTCTTCCGCTTTATTATATTAAGTATAGATTTGTTTATTTACGAGAATTAACCACTTACAAGTAGAAATCCGCTTAAAGTGCCAATCATTACACTGCTTACCCTATATACATGTTACTGCGTTTTGCAATAAAATAAAACCGCTCCCCATTCATTGTAACTCAAGAAACAACTATAAATAGATACCTACCTAATAAAGGATTATTCTAACCTACGACAAGAAAAAATAAATAAAAAGCCTAATGTAATGACTTGAATACAAAGATAAACTCAATAGAATTATTTGAATAAAAACGGAGATGTTAATATTGCATTCTAATATAAACAGCTATGTTGTTACATTATTGCATCGATATAAATATTAAATAGTATACCTACTAAGTTTATGCATTATTGTTTATTTTTACCAATAACAATATGGGTAATTTTAATACGTCTTTGGGTAAGAATAGCTCTTCGGGCATCATACCGTTCTTCGAAGACTAAATTTTGGAATTAAAAAACAATATTGGGATATGGAAAGACAATTTTGGATTTGATTGAATACGATTTTATTTATTAAAAGTTTAATAGGTACCTAGAAAAATAGGAAGACGAAAATCTTGATAAATCGTTATTTTTTACAAACCGCTACTCCCTCTGTTGCTCTATGATATAACTACAACTGAATTAAATTTTCATCATTACGCGCCATCTGTTGTTTGCATGCAAAAACAACAAATGTTTTAGGAGAGGATATGTCTGACATTAAACTATAATTACCCAATAGATGGCACTGTTATTTGTAATTTCTCAATATTATATGAACAAACGAAAATAGTTATTTTTATCGCATGCTTAGAAATAATTTATGATTTATAAAATTTATACGGTGTGTACACAGTGCCCATTTTTTTAAGCTAAAACAAACTGAACACCGCGATGGAGTATTTTTGCGACATACAAGCGATATATTCATCTTAATCGTAATTTTGGCAACATATTGTAAACATTGATTGATTTGCAAATGTCGTAAGCCGTCGGTGATCGTTGAAGAAAAGGCGTCCCGTATAACAGATCGAGATTACATCCGGGCGTGCGGTGGCGCAGAGTTATTCCCAGAGCGGCGCGGCTTGCGGTGGGACGGAAGCGGGGGCGGGGCGTGCGGCGCTGGCTCAGTGTGTCGGCGCGCGCCGCCGCCGCCATGGGCAACCAGCACTCCGCCTCACACGTCTCTCACAAACCTAGAAAGAACGTGCACTGGAAGTCCGCAGGTAAATACGAGCCTCCACCGGACACATGCAATACTTTACACGGCACCTTCCCCGTTTGTACCTACCCCGTTGTCAATAGCAAAATAGCTATAGAGACAGCCTCTACAGCTATTTTTAAAAACATCGCCCGCTGAGATTCCTAAAGCGTGGCACAACAAAACAAATCGCGAGACGTTGCGCGTTCATGTAACGACTATCACGCATCTAAATTTGTATGGTGTAATATGCCAAATCGCCGAGCACCGGTAGTAAAGTGACTGATGAACTTAGGCGTTTGACCTCTACGCATCTCAAACGATTTTGAAACGCAAACCTAATTCTGTAACTTTGTTATTACAGGGCGACCGGCGGCGCCCGGCAAGCCACATATAACACCGATTTTATCCGACGATGAGCCGAACGCTATAACTCTACGATGGGCGCCTCCCGCACACGATGGAGGTGCGCCTCTGCAAGGTTATCAAGTGGAATGCAACAGACTGGGCTCACCGGATTGGATCAGAACTGCACCGCCTGTCGTGGCTCGGCCAGAGCTGGTCCTTACGGGTCTCGGTCCACCCCATCGTTACCAGTTCCGGGTTGCTGCGCTAAACATAGTCGGTCGTTCTGATTATAGCGAAATATCTGATATACTGACTGTAAACTCCGAACGCAACCTGCAAGAAGCACCATTATTCCTTCAGCACCTGGAAGATATGACTGTTCTCGAAAACGAAAAAACAGAGTTTCGTGTCGTTTTCACCGGCACACCGCCTCCGACAATTGCTTGGTTTAAAGATGATTACGAAATTTTTAGCAGTAGAAGAACTGCAATAACCACAAATGAATCATCAAGTGTCCTCATCTTCCATCAAACCCTATCCAGTGATGAAGGTGAAATTAAATGTACTGCGACCAACCGCATTGGTCACGCGATATCAAGAGCACGTCTCGTGCTTGAAGCTGCGCCCAAGTTACGTTACCCACGGCAATACGAAGATGGCCTCTTATACGAAATAAACGAGACAGTTTTCTTGAAAACAACTATAGTGGGTAAGCCGACGCCAACTGTGGAGTGGCGCCATGACGGGCAGCCAATAGTCGTTGACGATCGCGTAGAAATCACTACCACCCCGAAATTTTCGATCTTGAAGATACATTCTGCGCGCAGAAGCGATAGGGGCGAGTATCAAATACATGCTCGCAACAATATAGGTGAGGACACAGCCGCGTTCCTAGTGACGATTACTGCTCCACCGGACCCGCCTCGACGAGTCTCAGTCACCCGTCAAGTAGATAAGTCTGTGACCCTAGACTGGGAGGCTCCCAAAGACGACGGAGGATGTCGAATAGGCAATTATGTAGTCGAATACTACCGTAGCGGATGGAATGTTTGGTTAAAGGCGACAACAAGTCGCAAGACAAGCGTCACATTGTTCGATTTAATCGAAGGAAGCGAATATCGATTCCGTGTGAAAGCAGAGAGCCCATACGGTATGAGCGCGCCGAGCCCCGAATCGCCACCTGTTCGCATACCAGGACGAGCTGTCGATATGGAATTTCTAGCGGTAGAATCGCGTATTATAAATCAAGTGTTAACGCAAGAGGGAGGAGAGGCAACTGTGTCACCAGTACCGCGTCGCAAGCGAACACATGCGGCACCAAAAACAATTAATGAACCATCTTCATCTTCGGAACCTCCAACACAGAAAGAAAAGCCGAGCGCTTCGCCAACGCGAGAGCATGGTGGAAGTAACGAATTCATGCTAGTGCTTTACCCCGAAAGTCGGAAATCGGCCGATAAAACTGGTAAGCATATTAAGTACTTACTTTTTATTGCAAAGCATTGTACTTATATACATTAAATAAAATCCTCTTGGCGGTGTGTTTACTAATATCTGTGTAGGAAAGTTCTCAAATGTATATTAAGTACCTACTGTATAATCTTGTCATTCTATATACCTAATTCCATAGAAACTAATTTAATCAAACGTCCATATTTGTTTAATTAAGTATTCATTGAGTTTATCAAAGATAATATAATTTCTAGGTACCTATGTTGTAAACTTTATCACACCTAATAATCAAGTGAATACTGCGTGCATTTTTTTTAAGTTGTGTAATGTATGGTAAATTGTGTTGTTAATTTATTTTGTTCGCATTCATACCATGCAGGCACATTATGTACTTATACAAAAAAGAATTCCAATGGTCGACTTTAACTTAGTTACTAAAAAAAGGGATTTTTAAATTTTTAATAAAGTAATATTAATTTCATTTACCTACAACAAAAACAAACAATAGCGAAATAGTGCCATGGTTTCTATAAATACCTACACGGAGTCGGTCCAATTAAGGTGGCTACTGACCTGCCTGCCGCAGGGGCAATCTAGGGTGTAGGAGTGGGGATGACCATTAATTGCCTCCTTAATTGTGATGTGTGTAGGCAAGCAGGGGCAATTTTTTAAGTCGTCCCTGCGGCCTTCGATATTGCTCCGATCGCTGTGCTCCCTAGATTGCCCCTGCGGCAGCATAGATAAGAGTGTATGCGGCAGGCAGGTCAGCAGGTCAGTAGCCGCCTTTAGTTTCAACTTGCAACACACGCTCGTGTCTCGTGTGCTATATAAACCTTTAACTACATAATCGTAGTAGGTACCAAACCACATTTCAGCTGCTGCGAATTTTCATTATATTACTTAGTAACAGTGCGAATTCTAACATAATTCGAATTGTTATAAGAATCCCAAGTTTTATATTAATCACATTTTACAACTTTAAAAATATGATAGTTAATAAAAAAACAGTTCTCATACATCGAATAGTGTAGACCTATTCGATGTACGAGAACTGTTTTTTTTATTAACTATAAGTTTCATCATTTTTATTAGATTGTTAAATGCTTCTAGTCAATGTCACTTAATTAATAATCATATAATGCAGACAGTTTACGAGAGGCTAACGATCGTTTTTTGTTTACCATAAGATATTTTTAACTCTGTGTAATCACATACACAATTAATTATCTATGATCATAGATTTGTGCGAAGCGATAAGTTTTAATTATTCCCAAAGCCTTTTAAGTTACATTTTTATTACTTCCCTTCCCTGCATAACATTCTTTATAAACTAATTTTCATTTAGTAAATAGGTAGGTACTGTGTTTATGCGGTATAAGTGAATCCATCACCAAATTTCTTCCCACAAGTAACGCACGAAAATGCCAGAAAAATCTCATAGCTTTCGATAGATGTCGGTATAACTAGGTCATTCAATAGCACTACGTAGTTATATTATTATCGTACTTATATTTATTCTATGAAACATAAACAGAAACAGAATGTGGTATAACCATATCCTTACGTCAGGCGTAAAACTTACGCCACACCCGCATCGGAGAACAGTCGCAAAGGTGCGAGACGTGTGATCGTTATTCTGTTGCAAAGTCTAACGATTGAAACAAATCCTTCAATTAGGGGTGAAGCCCACGTCCACCATGGGCATGTACGGCCTAACGATGGAGAACAAGAACTTCTAAAGTAATCTAGTAAAAGTTGTTGCATTTTATAACATTTTATTTATTCCATGTTTTTACGTTAAATATTTAATATACCTAATGGCAAAGCGAAATTCCTTTATTTTCATTTTTATGCGAAATGTATGTCGTGTATTTAAATATATGAATGTGTTTTATCAATCTAGATTTGTAACTGATAACAATAAATATGTTAGACTGAATTGAATACGGCCCCGTGAATAAAACGCGTGATGTATAGAAATGTATATTCCAGTCCGGTATTAATGCGATATCTATCATGTATTTGGTTTTGATAGTTTCTAAAGATATACTTTTATTATTAGATCCTAGATAAGCAAAAAAGCATTATTTTCTATTTCAGAGAAAAGGAAGTCGTTTCAACTTGACTTGGAAGATGCCCTGTCGCCACCTCCACTTTCGCTCTCAGCACCTGAGCTTAGCTCACGATGTATCCTACCCTTCAAGGCACTACGTAATGCTGTCAGCTCAACTGAACTCCTGCACGAGCGTGCGATGGCGCGCTTCTACAAAGCAGTGGCTATGAAGGAAGAGCAAACCAAGCAAAAAGACGAAAAATCAAATAATCACGAAATGAAAAATCATAACGACATTCCGCATATACCAGACATTAATCAGCCCGAGGTTACTGAAGACAGACAAAAGTCTCTAATACCAGACGCTGGAAACTTTAAAGCACCAGAAATTTTAATTGAAACAGATTCGATAGAGAGCAAGCAGTATAAGTACAGTCCGCAACTAGTGTCGCAGGATTCTGAAACTTCGGAGAGTAAATGGCAGCAAATGTCTTTTGATGAAGATTATACGGCAAGCACTGTCTCAACTGATGGGGAATATTCTGATGAAGGTAGTCTTAATGAAGATAGAGGCCAATTTTCACAAGAAGAGGAAACTTATAATCCAAGAAACAAAAACACGCGATCTTCACCCGTCAGAGCATCATTAGAAGATGATGATGAAAATGAAGAAGTAGAAGAAGAACAAGATGAATCTGAGGATGAAAAAGTTCAGTTATCACCGCTTCCAGATCCTAATTTTGTTCCTAAACCCATATTAAAACGAAGAGAGACAGATAATTTAAATATGAGACCAAATATCATCGAAAATAACGAAAAACAGGGACTAGAAAAAGATAAGAAAGATGAAAAGATGACATTGCTAAAAAGAATTACAAAAATGCCCGCAGAAACATTTCAGAAGAAACCTTTTGCACTGCCTAAAATACTTAACAAAAAAAGGCCAGAAAAAATACAGGAACAAAAATCACAAAATAATAAAGATATAAAAAATAATAGCATAGAAAATGTGGATGACAAAGTTAGTGAAGAAAGAAAAACGGTAATTGATTATTACGGTAATATAGTAAAAGAATATGGCAGTCATAAGAAATCTACAACACCGTTATATCTCAGTACAGATGATTTGAAGAATGTAGCAGAGAAACAACATTTAGTTAGTAATAAAGCAATTGCAAATAAAGATGATAATGACATACCGAAAAAATCAGAAAAGGTTCAAAAACCCTCCTCTACAATAAAACAAGAAAAAAATTTGGATAGTAAAATATCGTTTGTAAAATCAAAAGCAAAAAAAGTAGTTAATAAACAAATAAAAATGAAGGAACAGATTCATGGATCAAATTCTGTACATAATATATTACCGAAAAAACAAAAGGCAGAGACACCAGAAAATCCTTACAATACTAAACAAACTAACAAAACAAAACCTCAAGATACACAAGTACTTTTAAAAACTACTGAAAGAGCTACTATAGTGATACCGATTGATTATCAGAAATTAGAAGAAAAAGCAAAAAGAAATGTGAGATCAGCTATTGATTACACGGTCGACGTATGTTTATTAATGTTAGCTTTTTGGGTTTACTTTTTTAGGGATGAAAAATTAGCAATCCCAATCCTTATTCTTATTATATATCGTCAGCTGCAAGAGACATTTCTGTTTAATATTCCCGAGTGGATAAGGAGACACAGTCCTGACTGGCTCAAAAAGAAAGCATCTTGACCTAGCTAAAAGACATTTTTGTGAAGATCTGGCTGCCGAGTGAACAATGTATGTTGTGTGAAATTGTGACTTATTACATGTAATGTAAACTTAATTTGTGTTTATATACTCATACGAACTTGTTCTTAAAAGTAAAATAGCCAATAACTAGTAGGCGATGCTATATTAAGTCAACGGTAATTTTTCGAAAATCTGTTTTTTACACTATTTATTTTATAAAATTTAATATGATTAATCTAAGAAATGTGTCGATGTCTGTGCGTTTTATATCTCAATTTAGAATGCAACGTAGTGACTGCGTGCCGTATATTAAGCCTCGTAAAGTTATAGACCCCAAAGCTTGCGCTATTCGCGACAAAGGCCTTGTCCTAGGGATATACTACAATGACAATGTACAGGAGGAATCAGCGATTCTCACAGCGAGTGCCCAGAAATATGACGAACAGTGCGGTGGAAAATTATGGAAGCAATTAAAGTTAACACCTACACCAAAACTTGGCGAAACTCGAATTTTTTACGATTTGGATCCTCAATTCGCTTTTGTCGCCGTTGCGGGGCTCGGTACAGAATGCTTCTCTTTTAACTCCCTAGAACGATTAGATGAAAGCAAAGAAGCGATTCGAATAGCAGCAGGTTCAGGAACCAAAGCTTTGCAACCCTTTCGTCCGTCGGTCATTCACGTTGAGTCATTCGGAAACGCGGAAGCAGCAGCTGAAGGAGCAAACTTAGCTAATTGGCAATTTCGAGAATACAAAACGCCAAATAAAAATACGATATCTAACGCAAAACTTGTACTACACGATGACTGCGACCTCGAGGGATGGAATATAGGCCAAATAAAAGCAGAATCTCAAAATTTAGCTCGTTATCTACAGGAAATGCCAGCAAATTTTTTAAATCCTACATCTTTTGCCAAAATAGCTGTTGATTTACTATGTGAATTAGATATAAACGTGGAAGTCAGAACCCAAGGCTGGGCAGCAAATCATGAAATGGGTGGATTTGTGTCTATAGGACGGTCTTCAATACAACCACCGCTTTATGTTGAAATAAGTTATTACGGAGCCAATGAAGACACACGTCCTATTGTATTAATAGGTAAAGGCGTCACTTTCGACAGTGGTAGCTTACACTTGAAGCCACCCAAAGACTTACAATTTATGAAGGGAGATATGGCTGGTGCTGCGTGTGTTCTCGCTATAACAAGAGCAGCGTCTATATTAAAATTACCCATCAATATACGGGGCATTCTGCCACTCTGTGAGTTGATGCCTAATGGGAAATGTCCAAAGTCTGGTGATTTAGTGAGCAGTGCTAATGGAAAGTCTATACTCATTAGACTTCCGTCATGTGAAGGAAGGCTGCTTATTGCAGATAGTTTAGTCTATGCACGGAATTACTGGCCAAAGTTCATAGTCGATATTGGAACTATGTCCAAAGAACTAATACACACTCTTGGTGGAGCCGCTTGTGGATGCTACACAAATTCAGAGGAATTGTTTTGCTACTTGGAGTCAGCTAGCAGTCAAACAGGTGACAGAATATGGCGCATGCCGCTTTGGAAATTTTACGAGGAACGAATTAAGAACACTCACGCTGCGGATGTTGCGAACACCGCAAAACATAAATACGGAGACTCACCAAACTGTGCGGCATTCCTGAAGCAGTTTGTATGCGATAGCCAATGGATCCATCTAGATACGTACAACATCGCATACAGCAAGGGAAGGGATTGCCCATACTTGTGTCGCGGAATGACAGGCCGACCCACACGAACTGTCATAGAATTTCTTTATCAATTGCTTGCCGACGCGAAACTCTAACCATTGATTAGTATTTGTCATTATTAAAATTTATAATTTAAAATGATTTTGCAATGTAAGAAACAAATTTTCGAAATAAATCGACTGCTATTTGACGTTAACATATTAAATATTATACAGCCCTATGAGTAATGTTTTAATTTTCTTGACTTTAATCACTTTTAAATTTAATAATATAAATTATGAAATATCCAAGAACAAATAATTTTCAAATTCAAGCTATTTTTGACAAAAATAGCTTGAATTTGAAAATCAATATTTTCTTGCTTACCGTATCGATTTATAGGCTTATAAATGTTTATTAAAATCGAAGTAAGCGAACTAACAGTCTACCTGGTGGTAGCTACTGCATCCCATGAAGTAGGTGCAACCTATTTTCTACCGACTTCAAAAAGGAGGAAGTACTCAATTCGACCGTTTTTTTATGTGTATATAATATATTATTACTTTTTTCTATGTGAACCGATTTCGATGATTCTTCTCATTTTTATTTGAAAGCTGGTGCTTCTCATGTGGTCCCATATAAATTTGATCAAGGTCTGATCAATAGTTTTTGAGTTATCCTTAATAATATTTAATAAAGTCGGTTGTACAAAATTTTTAATTATAAACAAAGAAGTCTAGGCATGCGTGTCACTACTCAGAACGCCTACCAGCCTATTTTGCTGGCTCTCTATAACCTTCAAAGTTGAACACAGCAGTGTAGGCTTGGGACAAAAATTTTAAAAATTAAAATATTTTTAGGGTATCGAATTCGTATCAATTTCGATATATTTTAAAACGTTGTATTAATGAAAAAACATGTAACAACAAAAGTATTCATGTGTGGTTGGTATTGTCGTTCTTTTTTCGTCGTCCAACCGTCAGTAATATAAAATTTTGGACCTTATTTGGACGATATATCGATATTTATCACGCGATATATATCGATACTGTTTAAAAATATCGATTCGATATATTTTTCCTTTGGCCATCCCTACAGCAGTGCACCCATTTGTGCTTGGTATATATGGACATTGTATATACAATTTTTTTGATAAACTAAACAAAAGGTTAGAACACGATTAATAACCCTCTAATGGCTATCATAAATCCATGTACGTTAATAACATAAGTAATGTAATGTTAAAAACAATATGTAAGCCAATCGTGTTTTGGCTTATTTGGAGTGTATTATGGAAGAATGGTTTTTCGTTTTTTTTTTTTAATTAAACCCCAAAATTATTTATTTCATTTCTTTAATTAGTACAAAGTATGAAAACACATTGTTCATAAGATGTTTAATTTAGACATATATCCTTAATTTGGCATTTCAATCACTAGTAATAGTTACATCACATTTTATACAAGAAAGTAAAAAAATTAAGCATTTTATTAAAGTAAAAAAAAGTAACGAAAAATTACATGTCAACATTCCGTCAAAGGATGCTCTGATCCGATACTTCGGGAACATTCTACAAACTGTTTGACAACGTCTGAACAACATAACACTTTTTTTCTATTTATTTCATAACAACACTCCACTGCACTGCGCTCCCGTTGACATCGGACCGGCCTTTCTGCTGTCTTTTGTAAGTCATCTGCTATCTTATTAACAACTGCTATGTTTCTGCTTAGATCCTGGTAATGATCCTTTAATTTTTGAGTAATTTCTTCAAGAATTACGTTGTTCTCTCCGACAGTAGCGCGCTTATAAGCTCTTTTAGATATAAAAATATCAGCAGGAAGAAAATCAGACATAATAAATATTTAAAAAAATTAAGTATAAAAATATAAAACGCCAATTTTTTGTCAATAAAATAACAAATCGGTATGGTTTAATAAAGAGTACAAATACATACAGATTATATTAAAAGAAAACTTTCCCATTTAATAAATTTATAATATATTAAATTAAATAACTACTATTACATTTAGGAACAAAATAAATGGCACTTATTAAAAATATAAATAAACAAAATTTTATGCAAAATTTCGGCTTATATTTTATAACTCCTCTGACTAAAGTAAATGCATTTCAGATCTATTTAGTTCTTAACATAAAATACTTAAAAATACAGTAATAAAAGTAACTTCAGTTAAAATATCTTTGAATAATTTGAACTACATAACTTTTATGGCTTGTTCCAAGGCAAATTGCCTATTAATAAAATAACAAGATCAAGGACTAATGAATAACATATTGTAGATAATTTATATCAGTTAAAATAATTATTTTTATGGCATGAAACTGCTGAAATAAACGACCATACATACCTTTAAAGGAGTATGGTTTTGAACTTTTAACATATAAAATGGAACCCACTATTACTAAAACACTTAATGAAATGGTTCGTCCAAATTTAATCAGTTTTAAGACGCACCAGTGACATACCAGCAAAATACCTTATCCCTATCCCGAAAATACGAAAAAACAAATTATATAATATATATCTTAATAACATTTTCATTTGTTTTTAGGATCCTTAAAAAATACTTTATAAATGATTAACAAATTAATATAGCAAGACTAGTAAAAAAACCATGGCATTTAGTATCACTGCTATTAGTATTATGTGTCAAATATTGCATTAAATGTTTTATAAAATGTTGTTTAAAATTAATAAATTTACAAATAAGGTACGATTAAACGATAGACATTTAGACAATATGTTTCAATGCATCTAAAACATAACATAATTAGAAATATATAATATAATTAGCTGTTCAAAAGGACAAATGAGCCTACAGCTCATTACGCATACGTCCAGACAGTGCCGTTACGTCTACGACAGTGGAATCTTCAGTATCACTAATGTAACCTTCTTGACCGGTGTAATGCGTTGGGTGTACAAGTAGTGGAGCCGCTGAGAACGCGTTCAAGTTGCGGTTAGGGAAGTAGGATTTCCATGTGTCGCTGTAAATTAAAAAAATAAAATTTATTCCTTAAAGCACACTCTTATGCAGAGGTTACACTCTCATTCTGGCGTCAGTTCAATCCATGATTGATGTCAGAATGAGAGGAAACTGACTGTATACGCGTAGACTGATGGATTGATGGCCCATAACGATGTTTATTTCAATATTTTAATAAATTTTGTCAGTCTGGTCAGACTGATTCCAGACTGAACGTGTGTTTAATAGCTATCAGTCTGATGTTAGTCACCAATTAGACAAAGATGAAGTCGCACGCCGTGTCGCCGCGTGCGCCGACTCACCCGCCACCCCCGACGGCCCCTTCTCAACTATTAGCCCCGGAGAAAGAATTTATTCTAATTTTAGAAGTTTTACCTATAAATAAATGAGAGACGAGGCGCCGCAGAAACTATCAGTAATTTTGAAAAACAATAAAACTTCAAGCTAATGTAGAAGATGTGAAAAAGAAAATTCAGATCCAGAAAAGAGATCCAACTATCGCTGTGAATTTAAAAAAAAAATGGCGACTTCGAAAAGGTCAGGAGCTGGAGCTGAACAAGTTTATGTTCCGAAGAGCTGGACATTTCAATACCTGCATTTTTATACAAGCACAAAAAAAAAACAAAAAAACTTGTTCGATAACGTGTTGCCATCTTGTAGTTAGGATTGTCACTAACTACAAAATGGCAACAAGTTATCGAACAAAATGGCACTTATATATATTATGATCAAAAGTAATTAAATTTAGAAAAAAAAATGTACTGAATTAGTATATAAAGTACGAAGAAACTTTTTCCCTGACCTTATACTCTTTGGACAACATAGTAAATAGTAATATATATGCATAATAAATAAAAGCTCTTTGGAGCACTGTTCAATATTGTTTATTAAAAAAAATCATAATTAAAAAATAAAACTTTCCACATTTACAACATTCCTCAAAAAATAATAACCTCTTTTTTTAATAAGCTATTGATGTCCCACTTGATTTTAGTCTCACACGGATTTTTATAAGAAGCTCATTTAAATAGGAATTTAGTGTCAACTTCATGATTTTTTTATCGACCCAACTAATTTTACGTTACCGTCTTTACGGACCCCTTCTTTGTATGTTAAATTTTTATAAAACTATATTATATTGATACAATTTTATTAAAATTGAAAAGTAGGTTTAATTTCGCGAAACAGACCAGAACCAGAGACCCTTTTTACTGGAAACGAGCCATTCCATTTTAGTCCTCGAGGTAACAAAGCATCTGCATTTTGATTCTTAATCGAGGATAAAAATGTAATGTCTATGGGCCACAGCATCCACTTACCGTCAGGTAGGCTGTGTGTTCGTTTGTCACCCTTATTCTATAAAAAAAATCACGACCATATAGGCACTGCACAAGGAGCCAAAACACCGACGTTTTTGTGTCCTACGCCAGGGGTCGGCAACCTTTTGAGTCGGAAGAGTCAAAAATTACAATTTACAAAATTTCAAAGTTTTTAAAGAGCAACAAATTTTTTTCTTGCCAAACATAAATAGTACTTGCATAAATAAAGTTTTTTGATAAAAAAAAAATACTAATCTATTTATTCATAAGAAAAATATATGTTTATTCATATATAAATAGTGTTTTTCACAATAAATTAAAATCGAATTTCTATTATTATGTAATTACTAGATATTAGAAGTCAACAAAAATTTTAATCATCATTTTCAACTAAATAAAATGTTTGGCTATAATTACGAGTGGTAAGTAATCCCGTGTACTTTATTTTTCTTTCTTGGATTATTAGAACACTGTTTAGCTGCAAAAGAAGTCATTTTAATGCGTATTTAATACCAAAAGAACTGAAATTAAAAGAGCTGTATGATCAACAACGTTCCGCGCGCGACTGTCACTACGAGCCAAGTACGAGCAACCCGTAGTTTTGTAGGACCGGGCGCCGTGATTTAGTGACATATCTCCCCCTTTTAATATATCATTGATCCGAAGATAGTCAACACTCCAAATGCCAACTTCTTCACCTCACTGTAGCAATCTGGAAGACTATTCCATGCGTCGAATATAAGTGCCTCAACGCGCGGCATTTCTTTTAAAGCTGTTCATTTTGTTGCGTTACGTACATACATTTCTGGACCTCCAACTCTTTCTTGTCAACTCTGTAAATTTTCAACTCCTCAAAGCTTTACTTTTTAAATCGATCAATTGCATTTCTAGAGATCCAGTATCAACTACAAATGGCTCAGTGTGGGTCGATTTTTTTAAAATAAAATAAATAATATTTGCATATGAAACTAAAGAGACGCAGCTTCACATCCAAAGAGCCGCAGGTTGCCGACCCCCGTCCTACGCTAACTTGTGCTAAAGAAGTTTAAATTCACTTACTTTGTATGCTGATCGAACATAATAGGAAGAAACTCGTCGACAGGCAACATGTTATCGAGTGGTTTCGCGTCCAATAACTTTTGCGCTCCCCGTTCGCTAATCAGGTAACCGAGGGTCCAGTAAGAGTAGAGAGGTCGTGTTGTATGCGGGGTTGCATATTCTTCTTCGCCATCTAGTAAAATCTTTCTACCGATATATCTAGAAAAAAATAAATAAGAACGAGACAAAGTTAGAAGTCACTATGGTTCAGATAATTTAAAATTAAAAATTTTGTACAGCCGACTTCAATATAAGTTATTTAAGAATAACTTAAAAACTATTGGTCTGACCTTGATCAAATTCATATGGGACCACACGAGAAGTACCAGCTTTCAAATAAAAAAAGAATCATCGAAATCGATTCACCCAGAAAAAAGTTCTGAGGTAACACACATAAAAAAAAAACATACAGTCGAATTGAGTACCGGCTCCTTTTTGGAAGTCGGCAGAAAAGAGACAAATATGTATATCCAATCCTTGTGCAACCCTGAACCATTATAATCATTAATGCAGGTCATTAGAAAGGTCAACCGTGTAGTGGTGGAGTTAGAATATCCACTACCCCATATCATACCGCGGGTGTCGTAAGAGGTGACAGAGGGAAACAAATCAGGAGATGGGCGACAACGTCTTCCTAATAGTGACTAAAAAAAACTTTGGTTGCCAACCAGCTTGCCAAGCTTGATAGCAATGACAAATATCCCCCCTACGACTTATACTGGAGACTCATGTTCTGCAGTGGTCTTTAATAGGCTGTAACGCTATTAGAAATACAACCAATACGAAGCAGTCCCTCGAAAAACTTTTACCGTGGATCTTTTTTACTCGAAGAGGCATTCCATATTATTCCTTAAGGGTGACAACGCTTGTATTTTGATTCTTAATCAAAGATAGATGTAGATGTCTTTGGGAAACATCCACTTACCATCAGATGTACTGTGTGCTCGTCTGTCACCCATATTCTATATATAAAAAAAACATTATTTACCAAAACTATACAAATGCAGGATATTAAGTTTTGTTGGTGTCGATATCAAGGTTTATTACAGAAACATATTCGCTCTTATTGCAGTAATGGTCGGAAGAAACTTTTATCATTGACTATGAATGACGACATAAAGTCACGTTATTTCGAGCCACGTGCTTTTCGAATCAAGAAATTTAATTAGCGATATAACGAGATATACTTTTTTTAGAATTAACCGATTATATTTCTGTAGCGCTGAAACATACATATGATTATAAATAATTACTTACACTAGGTCCCAATCTAACTCTTCTATTTCGTCCAGCAGCAGAATAAATTTGTGTCGGAAGTATGGTACGAAGTGTATGTCGTCTTCAAGGACTAAGGTCGTCTTATAATGATTCTCAACTATCTGAAAAAGGTATCTCATGGTACATAAAGCATACACAGCACACACTTACACAGTACATAGATACTTTATAACAAACGTGTTTTTTCATAGTGCTCTTTTGACATTCAAACTTATTTTTATCAATTTATTAATTTTATTTCAGTTATGTAAAGAAGACGAAAGTGATGGTGTTTGAAAGAGATGAGGCAGTGACAGACTGCAATATCGTGATTGGAGATGAACAAATTGAACAGGTGAAAGATTTTGTGTATCTGGGTTCAAAGTTTACGAGAGATGGAAAGTGTGAGAGTGATATCGAAAGAAGAGTGAATGCAGGAAACATGGTGAATGGAGCTTTGCACTCCTTTATGAGCAGTCTGAAGGTGTCTAACAAGGCTCGTTTGGCTGTGCATGAGGGGGTGTTGGTTCCGACACTCATGTACGGAAGTGAAAGTTAGGTATGGCAGAAGAAACATGAAAGCAGAATAAATGCAGTTGAGATGAGAGCGTTAAGAAGTATGATAGGAGTTAAACTGAGTGACAGGATAAGAAATAGTGAGATAAGGAAACGTTGCGGTCTGAAAGAAGATGTAGTGACAAAAATTGAGAAAGGTATGCTGAGATGGTTTGGCCATGTCGAGAGAATGAATGAAGAACGATTGACGAAAAAGGTGTATAAGGCGAGTGTGAAGGAAAGTGTTGGAAGGGGTAGACCTAGGCGGACGTTTCTAGACCAAATCAGGGACGTCTTGAAAAAAGGCCAGGTCAAGAGTACCATAAACCGTAGAGCATGTATGAAGGGAATAATGAAAGTGGACGAAGCGAAACAAGTATGTAAGGATCGTAGCAAGTGGAAAGAAGTGGTCTCTGCCTACCCCTACGGGAAAGAGGCGTGATTATATGTATGTAATTTCTTTCATGATCTCTATATATGTAGACGTAAAATTTTCGGAGATTAACCGGCAAGGAATTCTTTTTAATATCATTTTTAAAGTAGTAAATATCATATAATTTCTGTGTTAGTGTAGTAGGCAGGTTCACTTTCAAAAACAGATCAAGATTCATTTTCACACATTTTATCCTGAAAATATTGTTCTTATTTCTTTAATAAACCTCGTCCTTAATAGTTTTCCTTTTTTCTATCCCCATCGGGGATGTCGTTACATCTTTTAAATAATTAAATTTATAAAATAGTTTAAAAAAAATCAAATTTCAGTTTGATGATTGTGTAACCATCAGATCTTGGTCAAACTTATATGGGATCATCCCTGAGGAACCTTATCCAATAACTATATGGCTACCCCATTTTTTACAAAAAAATAACCAAGGATGAAATCGGAAAACGTGATAAGGAATTATTGCTGATGATACATAAGAAGTGAGAGCCTCCTTTTTTTTTATGAGGTATGTTTTCATTACAGCCTTTTTGAGTCGACTGCCACACTGACGTTTCTATGAATGCCCAAGATGATAATTATTACTTGAAAGGTTTGCTCATTCTTACTATGCTGTACAGACGGGCATATGAGTGCAAAAACTCTCATATAGCCTAACAAGCAGATATACCCTCACATTGGTACGTATTGTTATAAAGAAACCGCATTAAAATCGACCTGATATCGTCTTGTACTACAACACCAATCTTTATTCTAATATATAAAAATACATTTTTGTTGGATCGTATTTTATGCGCTGCCATATCTTTCAATAGATTACGGTAAAACTTTGTCAACTTATTGCTTGCACTTGCGCGAAGGTTATAGGCATAGTACAATTAACTGACTGTATGTGGCGCACGTATCGTACCGACAAATTTATTTGAAAGTAATATAATATATCATTCAACTTCAATAAATGTATTATCATTCTTAATTAAACAATATAAGTCTTCCAAATTTGAAACGATACTTCCACAATTTTTTTCCGTCGAAGAGGGCGGAACAACGTCTGCCTGACCAGCTAGTTCTTGTATAAACCGTCAGACATAAGTCCGCGTTATTTCATCAGATTTACCAATCACAAAACACAGTGGGGATATAGCGACCGAATAGTTAAAGCATACGCTTAATTTATTTTATATTATAGTATATTGATTATAATTTCTTATATTGTACGTATTTGTTTTAAATAAATAAAAATACCTTTTTCCAAATGTAGTAATGACTAAGGAAGCAGCCCACCTCTCCAGCTTTCATTGGCCTGTAAAATTAGGAAATATATGTACTGTTACAACTTACAATACACACGAGTATTTTAGAAAATGGGTAGGGTGATAAGCGAGACACACATGATGGTAAGTCGCTTCTGTTGCTCATAGACATCAACATCGACTCTCAATTAATAATGAGGAATAAGATAGAATGTCTCGTTTCCAGTAAAAAAGGGTCTCCGGATAACTACACTCACCATACGAAACACAGCAGCATTCTACTGCTATTTCACGCTGGTATTCTGTGAGAGCGTGATCCTTCCTCGGTCGACCTTTTCGTGCTACAACCATAATATATCTGCAGGATGGCCTTACCACCTAAGAGGTGTAGTTTCATTTAATGTTTCAAAAGGTTTTGATTTTCTTAACACAAGTACATCTTCCTCATAAAATATTAACTATCTTATTGATAAACGTGATTGATTGATAGTTTCGGATTTAAGCAATAAGATTAAAAAGATTTGAAATTCCGTACTTTTATATTTTATTTCGCAGACGCTGCGAGACTACTTGCGTTGAAATATATTTTATGTTGAGCCTGATACTAATAATTAAAAAAGGTTCTCGAGCGGCGGCCTCGTACCGGCGGACGAAGTATAGGGCGTCCCGCCACTAGATGGAGTGACGACCTGGTAAGACATGCAGAAAGTCTATGGTATGCAGGTGGCTCAGCACCGTGCTTTGTGGCATTCCTTGCGGGAGGCCTACGTTCAGCAGTGGATTGTGAAGGGCTGTAATGATAATGATGATGACTAATTATAAACTATTTGTTGTATATGTTACTGTAAAAGCCCGAATTTTGGTGAATCTTAGGTTTTACTTTTAAATCCTAGGATTTACTAACATGAGCTGGTAAATGTAAGGATTGATATAAAATGCGACGATTTTTCGCGCTTTTACCGTTAGAGTTTGGTACATCCTAGTTTTCACCAAAGACTACCAGTAAGTGTTGGTTTTGGAAATGAAACAATATATTTATATAAGTAGAAAGTATTTATTAAACATTGAATCATATTACCGGCATAATTTTAAAACATTTTATGGTAATTTCTGAAAGTAGAATATAGAAAAATGAAGAGGCTTGTTTTTTGAAAGTAGAATATAGGAATAAAGAGATGACGTATCGATTCACAACAAATCGATTTCTAAAATATAGATATTTTTTCACAGACTGGCTCATTGAATATTCTTGGCGACGAAAGATAAAAATAGCGCATAAAGATGTTTTCGAAGAATTACAGCAATACAATATGTGTATAAAATTGATTAATAAATTATGTCAAAGAACCAAATTGATTGACCCCGACTCCACCTGGTACGAGTCTGTCCTACCCCTAGAGTGTTTTTATAGAGCCGGAGGCGCGGAGGCTGCTCTTCCCGCGACGCCGGAGACGTTGCAGTCTCAAAATAAAAACAGAGGGTGACACAGGTTGCGGGGAGGGCTGCACACTGTCCGCAAGTACGATAAAGCGCCGAACACGTATCTAGACATGACTATTTTTCAACATTTACCGTGTCTTAGCGGTAAAACCTAAGATTTACTGAGTGAATGCTTGTAAAAGTCCGAAATAAACGATTACCATAGAACACTTCGGACTTTTACCTTATGAACTTGGTGAATCTTAGGTTTTACTGCAAAATCTTAGAATTTACCGTAGTTCTAGTTTTTAAAGTAACACATATATTATATAAGACGGTAAGGCTATTTACGCTACTCAATTTTAAAACACCGTTAAGTCTCGTGCTTTCTCTATCACAAAGTCAAAGTGACTGACACCACGAGACTTAACGACAGCTTAACATTGAGTAGCGCTTGAATATTTGACCATAAGGATCGAAACAATTTACGTACATTTACTAAAAACGCATTTCTTAATAACATAGTGTAGCTACAACATAGTTAGGTGCTTACCTTTTATGATAAGGATCTTCATAGCCAGGCATCAATGTGATAGAGAATTCTTTTAAATTGCACAGATCCAGGTCCCTGAATCAAATTATTACTATAATTTGTAAAGCATTAGAGATTTTTTATTAAAAAAAAATAGTTTCTTTCAACAAAAAATATCATAAGGCTGGCTTTTCACTATGTGATATAATATATATTATATCCCGAAATATAAATTATATCCCGCGATTGGCTTTCACACTGTGAGATATATCTTTTAACCAGTGTGCGTTCGTCATTAGGCATTGGATTAACCCCCTTTACCCCGTACACCGTTCTGCGGGGGCGCGGAACGGTGTGCGGGGTACAGAGTGCGAAATATAATATGAAAATATCGCTCGGTCGATCGAAAAAATATTTATAGCTTGAGATGTAATATATATTATAGTTCAGTGTAAACGGTTCCATATGAAATGTATGGTGAGCGATATTAATTTATATCTCGAGATGTAATATATATTATATTATATCCCATAGTGAAAAGCGGGCTTAAGAGTTGCATAAAATAAAAGTAGATTAAGTTTTTCTGAGTGGTGGCGGCAAACAGAATCCATTACTCCAATTTAGTCAGACGACGGGTAGCCGCGTCGAAAGTTCGAGACGTCTAATGCTGCGAATGTGTAAAGAAGATTATGATCGCTATTCGCTACGTGGTGCGGCTTAACAGAATCGAATACGCCATCTTGTCCCGTGGGTGTTGCAAGAGTCAAAGAAGAGAAATATTTGCAAATTAATGATCCGAAACATTTTATGACCGCCGCTAAAAGAGATTCATTTCTTTTTATACAGGGTTGTTTTGCAATAACCGACTAAATATGCCACAGAAGGTTCAGAATAAGTAGGTATAGCCAAACGATGAAAAAGAATAATTTTAAAAAAAATCTCAAACATTCTGTCCTTTTTATCTTTTAAATTCAAAATGCGTGGTAATGCATTATTTTAACTGGCTTTGCTGCACACGCACACATTCGTAAGGGTCGATCGGTAGGCAAAAATATTGTTGCTCATAAATCACATTCAGTTTGGGATAATTTCAAATAAAAGTAGAAGTCTTATTTACTCGCATTTTCAAAAACTGTTATAACTGTAAGTATATCATCTATACAAATAAATAAAATTGAAGTGTCTGTTTGTAATGACAAAATTACAGTTTTTTACTAAATGCATATGAAAGTAAATACGATACCTATAACTAAAATACATTTTTTAAAATTTTTGTCTGTCTGTCTGTCTGTTTGTTCCGGGTAATCTCCGAAACGGCTGGACCGATTTTGACGCGACTTTCACTGGCAGATAGCTGATTTCATAAGGAGTAACTTAGGCTACTTTTATTTTAGAAAAAGAATCAGAGTTCCGCGCAGAAACATAAAAACCCTAACACGCGAACGAAGTCGCGGGGAACAGCTAGTTATTTATATATTTGGACTTAAGTTTAAAATTTGACTACCCTTTTGGAAAATAACACTATATAAGAGTGACAAACGAGCCACCACTTGATGGTACGTGGATGTGGTGACCTATAGGCCACTACAACTCTACAACTCCTTGTTTAAGAATCTAAATAAAGTTGACTTGTCACATTTGAGCGTTGAAATTAGTCTCAGATTCTCGTCTATTTAAAATATATATTTTTTGCTGCTGGTTTACGCTGATATTCCATTAAGGCTTGATACTTCCCTGGTCGACCTGACCCGTTCGTGCTGTAGCCTAATCACAGCTTTAGAGTGGATCTACCAAGTATTATAAATACTCTTATAACCATCATCAAGATCAAATTATAAATTGTATATTTTTCATATCAACTTAATATGATATTTGAGTCTCTAAACCTTGAGTCATTACAAATATATGTTCACCATGAAAAAGTATATCACAAAAGGTCCGTTTTAAGTTATATCATGGTAAAGACTTAAGTTCTTTTTTTGAAACTAAAAAGAAACGAACTTAAACACCAGATGGTAAGTGTTTACCAGGGGCGTAGCTACCGCCGTATCAGCCATATCAATGATACAGGGCCCCCGGGGTACAGAGGCCCTGAACATATGTAAGCAAAAATTCTAAGGACTTCTATGGGACAGGATGTTGGTTTGAATTGTTTGGCTAGCTTAGTTCCTAGGAGTATTAATTGTAAGTAATAACTTATAATCAATGTATAATTATTTTAATTCAATGTGAGAGTTTTTGTTCCTTTTGTGAAAAATCTTTACCCTTCATTTGCCCCCCCCCCTCAAATTTCGATACAGGGTCCCCCTAAGGCACGCTACTCCACTGGTGGCATCTATCTCTGAGAACGTAGATTTCTGTCTAAGCATTCTTGCTTAACATGTAATTTTAATTGTAGTAACATAAACTAACAAAATTACCTGCCATCTACAGCCTTAAATAGTGTAGCTTCCATTCCAAGTTCCTTCATGCTTAGTTCCATAAGCTTCCGCCTCTCAGTCCTCCTCTCAAGGTTAATCATAAAGATTTCGCTGCATCCGAATTTCCAATATTGTGGATAAACCACATACTTCTCCATATGTTTGTCTAATGGCAATGGAGTCCCTCGACTAATTGCTTCTAATTTAATATTCAACAGCTGCTCTTGGTCATTTCTCAGATCATCCCCATCTTCCAAAGGCACAGTTACAAACCCATAAGGATAATCATTGCAAATATTTAGACTGATACCTAGACAACAGTAAAATCCTTTAAAATATGCAATTTATCATTATTTTTTTAAGTGGTAGAGCCATGCTGCAGCTATATTAATAGTATAGTTGTAGCACGAATGGGTCGGCTCGACCGGGGAAGGACCACGCTCTCACAGAATACCGGCGTAAAATAGCAGTTTAACACTGCTGTGTTTCGTATGGTGAGTGTAGAGAACCGGAGACCCATTTTACTGGAAAAGAGGCATTCTATCTTAGTCCTCCCGGCTGACAACGCATCTGCATTTTAATTCCCAAACGAAGATAGATGTAGATGTCTACGGGCCACAGTAACCATCTGATGGTAATCAGGTGGACTGTGTGCTCATTGGTCCCCTTATTCTATAAAAAAAAATATTATTAAACATAATATATTTTATTCTTCCATCGATGAAGGTTTTTTCGTTAATATCAAAGGCTAAAAATAAAACAATAAACGAGCATATAGTTCACTTAATAGTAAGTGAATGCTATGGTCTCTATAGGCATCCTATTACAACTGTACTCAAGAACCTAATTACAGAAGCTTTTTATCCCTGATAATGGAAGATGAAATGCCTCTTTACCAGTTAAAGAGCCTACGGATCGTCACAACAGCAACATGCAGTTATTTTATGCTGATTCCTGTGCAAACTTGGTCATTTACTGCTCAAGCTGACCTTCGTGATGCAGCCATAACACGATACAGCATGACTGTACCACCTTCAAAAATATACCTGTACACCAAATATAATAGTCTCAATGTGCCACTCAACACAAAATTATTTAGGACAAATGTAATGTCAACTAACCATTATTTTTTGCGTTTAACGCAAAAGCTATAATATCATCGATAGGTCCATTGTAATTCTTTATGTTTTTAGGGTTGTATGTAAGGAGGTCTGATGCTTGATGCTTTAGGGATATTAGTACTGCAGTATGCACCATAGGAACTTCAAAACACCCTATTTTTTCACGATTTACAATAGGCTTATAGTCTTCCGTTCTTTTATAATAGTATTGGTCTGTCATTCCACACCTAAACATAGAGCAATATTTTTTATACAATATTTTTATACAACTGTAACTAAACAACACACATTTAGCTAAAATCAAGCAGTTAAAAATAAACAAAATTGAAACACATGGAAATGGGATTTATTAATAAATGCAAATATGAAAGCACAAGATGGAATTTAATAAGTTAAGCATATGTAAATTATGGATGCCACCATAAAAAAATTGTAGCCTGTGAAATCTAAATATGAACTAGTCTTTTTTAGATATTTAGCATGAACTATTGGTCCGAGAGCTCATAACGCATTTTTCATTAAGTGTTTTATGCATCATGAAACTTTGTTAAAAATATTAGTCCACTCAAAAAGTACCTGTGTACACCTTGTTGTGGTATTCAACACCTTTTGATGTAAATGTTACTTAAAATACTGTTTATGCACAAAATGTTTATTATATTGTTATAATATTATTGTTACAATGTTTATAAATGTTATATGTTTATAAATGTTATGTATGTGAGCACACACGAGACAATGTTGGCGTCCGTACATGTACTGACTTAAATAAAAACTTTAAAGTAAAATGCCTACGCGTACATAATGTGTTCGGTGTAAACTGAACATCTTCCCGCACAACAAGGGAGATAAACTAAAAATACATAAAAAAGTAAAATTATTTGAGAAAAGTTAGGTATAAAATTATTCTTCACCGCGTTTAAGAATGAGAGTTCGCAATATAGGAGATGTTGGTCGGTGTTGAGTGTTGAACGCGTTCGGGACCGCGGGTGAGGACGCACGCTCGGTGCTGGCGGCGACGGGTTGCGTTCTCGGGGCGGGCACTGCAGCGGCGCGCTGCGCTCTCGGGGCGGCCAGCGCAGCCACAGGAGCGGAGCTTAGACCTTCCGTGGTTATGTTATCGAGGCTAATACTTGAAGTGATAGCCGTGTTTCTTCTTTGTCGTAGTCGTTTGCAGGCAAGGCATATAGCAGCTATCACAGCCACTCCCACCAGGATGTAAATCGCGACGTAATGATGTATGTCATGGAATGTTATGTTTTCAGCGATCACATTTTGGGATTTTAGGTGTTTGATGTTTTCGTTCAAGGTGGTTAGGTTGGCTTGGAAACTGTCAGCGTCTTTTTCCAACTCTCCTGTTTCTGGGATAGAGAGCTTGATAATTTGGTTAATAGCAGCGATTTCAGGCGTATAAATTTCAGGTCCGGTTTCAATTCACTCGTAAATATTTTGTGCGTATAGATTGATAATTCTTCACTTTTGATTGAGCAACCGGGTTCCAGCGCAATGACCCCGGCGTCTCTCAGCCGTTCCACGGTAACTTGATCACCGCAAAAAATTCTTACGTTGCATTTGTCGCACGTTGTAAATAAGTAATTGTTCGCTTTATTTAATTGAATAAACATGTTACTGCACCCGGCGATGTTTATTTGGCACTGATTTGTGTAATTATTCTTCAAACACAGATCTTCATCTGAATTTCTTTGGTATATGGGGTGTTTGAGGTGGCATAAATGTGCTGAAAAATCGTACATAATACACTCTTGTAAATCGATAGATGTCATTGGGATGTAGATATCCTTTTCTAAATTAATTGCAATGTAATCTGCAATCGGTTTAATGTTCACAAAATTGTTGGTCCGTTTATGAGGAATCGGTATAACTCTGTATAGGTTGTAATTATCTCGGCTGACCAATGGTAATCTGATTTCAAAAATCAAGTACTTATTAGTCATCTTTGTTTTCACTTGAAGAAACTGATATATTTTTTGAAAATCTGATTGTATGTTTGATATAGGTAGAGTTGTCTCGAATAAGTTGGATGTTGGAAATAGCGTCGAAATACAAAGATTGATTAAGTTGCTGAATAGTATAAGCACCCTGCGTAGGTATGATTATACTCAAGAAAAATCAGGTTCCTGGTTTCCTCGCAGTGGCAGTATGGATAATTTGGTAACTGGCCGTTTTAAAATTCCGTTTTTTGTTTTCAAGGAGACAACTCGAACGAAACCATCTTTTCCTGGGTGTAAATGTATAACTCGACCTGTCAACCATTTTCCAGCAGGTAAGTTATCTTCTTGAATTGTCACCAATTGACCGACTTGAATGTTAGATGTCGACTGCTTCCATTTGTTTCGAACGGTAAGTTGTGTAAGGTATTCCGATTTCCAGCGCTTCCAGATATCAGCCATTAGTTTTTCTGTTAAGTTCCATCTTGTTCGCGCGTCGTGTTCTGTTTCCAGTATGGTTACATCAGCTGTTCCAGTTAAGAAATGCGAAGGCGTTAAGAAGTCCAGGTCCTCCACATCCTCAGTTAATGCACACAGCGGCCTAGTATTAAGGCACGCTTCTAGCTGAGTAAGTATCGTTGAGTACTCTTCGAATGTTAATTTTTGCTCTCCGATAACACGTTTGATGTGATATTTCAGGCTCTTGACCGCAGCCTCCCAGAGTCCTCCCGCTGATGGCCAAGAAGGAGCGTTGAAGTGGAATTCGATCTCCATTTTCGTAAGTTCAGTTAAGAATTCTGGATCAGAAATATTTTCTTTAAGCTGCTTTATGTTTTGTTCTAGAACACGGCTAGCACCGACGAAGTTAGTGCCGTTGTCGCAATATATGTGACGCGGCGCGCCTCGACGAGCTGCCATACGACGCAGTGCGGCCAAAAATGCTGACGACGTGAGGTCGGACACGAGTTCGAGGTGCACGGCCTTTGTTGCCATGCACACGAATACAGCCACATAACCCTTGTTTGTTTTTATGCCTCGACCCTTGCTTGCCTTGACGTCCACGTAACCCGTGTAGTCAACTCCTGTATGATAAAAAGGACGGGAGGGGTTTGTCCTGGCTTCAGGCTAATCACCCATGATCTGGGGTTGTATGCTGGGAGCGTGACGTCGACAGGTTATACAGGTTCTTATTAACCTTTTAATTGTTCGATTTCCGCCAACAATCCAGTACTTTTGTCGAATGAACGCTGACGTCAATCGCGCGCCGCCATGAAATGTGATCTTATGCGCGCTATCAATCAGTAATTGTGTAAAACGGCTTCTGTTCGGCAAAATTATTGGATGTTTCATATTATATGTGATATTTGCGAGTTCTAATCTGCCATCTACTCTTAAGATGCCATTTTTATCTATGAACGGATTCAACTTTGATAATGGGCTCTTTTTCGGTACTTGTTTATTTTGCGTAATGTTATTGATATCGTCTTTGAATTCGGCTGATTGCACATGTTTTATTAATAAATTAGTAGCTGTTTGTAACTCTGATATTGTTAGGTAGGGCTGCCTCTGTTTAGTTTTATCTTTTTTGACTCGTAGAATCCATGCTAATATTCTTACTAAGCGTGTAAATGAGCTTTGTTTTTCTATAAGTTGCGGTAAAATGTAGCTTTTTTCTTCTTCTTTTGCTTTCTGAGCTACTAAAACTTGCTTTTCCTCTTCGTTGGTTGTATACATAGGGTTGTTTTCTACATCTTGTTTATATGTTAGTAGCCAAGAGGGCCCTTGCCACCAAAGCGGGTGGTCTTTTAGTTGTCCTGCTGTTAAGCCCCTGCTGGCGCAATCTGCTGGATTTTCCTCCGACTTCACATAGCGCCAGCAGGCGGGGGGCATATTTGTGATCACTTGTTTGACCCTGTTCGCCACGAAAGGCTTCCATCGTGCAGCGTCTCCGTGCAACCAGCCTAGAACAGCGGTGGAGTCACACCAACCAAAGATCTGTATGTTGTACGTACTTAGGCAGTTGACAACCTTGTTCATCAATTTTGATAATAAAACTGCGGCATTTAATTCGAGCCTTGGTATAGTGATAGGCTTTTTGATGGGTACTAGTCGGGTTTTGGCGGCAACTAACACCACCATTGAATGATGATTTTTGCTTGTTCTGCAATATATGGCGCAGCCGAATGCTCTCACCGACGAATCGCAGAAACCATGCAATTCGACTAAGCTATTTTCTTTTGTTCCCAACCATCTAGGTATTTGTAGTTGATCAATCATTTTGATGCCATGTTTCATGTTTATCCATTCTACTTGGATTTCTTCGGGTAGTTCATCATCCCACTGAAGATTCAGCTGCCATACTTTTTGGAAGAGAAGTTTTAGTCTCAGTGTTATAGGAGCAATCAAGCCGATTGGATCGAACTGTTTCGAAATTTCTGACAAAAGACTTCGCTTTGTACATTTCTTCTCAGAGTCAGTAATTTTTGTTTGCAATGTGAAAATATCTTGTTTAGAAATCCAGCTGAGTCCAAGTGTTTTCGATGAATGTGCATGTTTAAAATTAAAATTTTTGTTGTCTTGGTTGTTGTTGATGTTAAGTAGTTCCTCTTTGTTGGAATTCCATTTTCTTAAGTTGAATCCTCCAGACTGAAGCAGGCGAATAAGCTCTTGTTGTAATTCCAATGCTGACGTCATAGAATGGGCTCCATACAGCAGGTCGTCCATGTACATTGCTTTTTCCAGGGCCTGGATTGCAGTGGTGGAGTAATCATTTCTTCGTTCATCGTTTGCTAATCGTTTAAGCGTCATCATGGCCAAAAATGGGGCAGCTTTTGTGCCATAGGTGACTGTGCATAGTTGTAAGTCTTGCAATGCAGAACTTGGACAATCTCTCCATATTATTTTTTTGGAGAAGCTGGTCATCTTGATGAATCCATATTTGGCGAAACATCTTTTCAATGTCAGCCGTAAATACTATCTCAAACTGTCGCCACTTGATCAACAGTTCCTGAAGGTCTTGCTGTAAGTTTGGACCTGCATACATAACATCATTGAGACTCGAACCTGTTGAAGTCTTGCATGAGCCATTGAACACTACTCGCAAGGCCGTAGTTGTCGATTCCGGTCGTTGTACGCCGTGGTGAGGTATATAACATTCGAGTCGACCCTTTGAATCAGCGGGTTTCATATGTCCAAGCGCTAGGTACTCATGAATGAAGGCTTTGTAATTTTGCTCAAAACTGTTGTTTTTTCTAAACTTTCTTTCCATGCTTAAAAAA